AAAAATTGCCACCTGGCGGGTTTTAAAATCAAATAACTTATCGTAAGCTTATACTTGTATCCTCCTCATTAAATGCTTAATTCAGCATAATACAGTCGCACTTGAAATAAACTGTATGTCAAAATCTATTCCTTACAAAAATAATTAACTGATAGTAAATTATCATGTGATGCATCGTTATATAACACGAAAAATTTATTAAAACTTATTCAAATATAAGCGTGAACATCATGAGTGATTTGTTGAACTTGTTTGCATCCAACAAACGACGTCTAGAATTGTGTGCGCAGCAAAAAAATTTTCTTACAAACGGTAAAAAAGGCTGCGTTTGCTGCAAAAATATTATCGTATTTACAATGAATATAACATACTAGAAATGTCATGTTAAAAACGATATCTCTGCTTTACTGTAATCCTGTTATCTGTAAGTACTACAATTTCAAATGATGCATCAAATTGTTTCTCTTCCATTTGCGTAGAATTTTAATCTCAAACGTGCATGGCAAAAGCGACATACTTTTATATAAATCCTATGTTTTGGATTTCGAAGCTTCGGTAATCTGCAAAATAAAATCTATAAATTAGCTGTCATTTTTATATTAAAATTATTTGGACATATATTCAAAATGTTATCTGCTAAAAACTGCAGAAATGTATTGCCGAAACGTTCCTTGAAGAATTATCGCGAACGAGTAGTCCCACAGGTATAACGAAGGAAACCATCAGTTCGAGAAAAACTTATTTTAAACATGACTGGACAATTTTACTACACAGTTACATTATAGATTATATTTGTATGAATCTGATTTTATGCGATTACACAATGTTTTCGTCAAGTCAATGTTTCGTCATGCCTACGCTTTACCGGGGTGTGAATCGTAAACGAAAACCTGCACCTGCACTGCATCTACTATAATAATGCCGAATTTGCGAACAAACTTAACTTAAAGAGTCGAATCAAATTCAAACACTTAGCGCAGTAAAGGCATTCTTCGAGCTCGCGTAACTACCTGAGATATCGTATATAGTTTTCAGTCGTTGAAACGCACAGATTCCTATATAACACTGCTGGACTACTTAATACTCGGATATACCGCCAGAAAACATACACGAGCGACAGGCTAGCTAACGAAGTGTACCCCAGTTCAGGAATAAAATGTTTGAGATCCAACGAAAAAATAAATATGATTTAAAAAAGCCGACACACACACACACACATATATGTCTTTCAATGGAACATTATATCAGTTGCGTTAAAATTTAAAGAAAAAACTCGGAACGGTATAAAAATAAAACGGGAAAAATTTGCGAAGAATGTAACTGGGATGAGATATGTAATATCGCGTATGTTTTTCCAAGCGGTGTAGCAGTCTTATATATTTGATATTCTAACGGTACAAAAAGAAAAAACGCACACATTCACATATCAATAAGAGAACGCCGAAAGCAACACTCGGAAATGTAGTTGATATTAAGTGTTTTGTCTCCCTTAATATTGCAATTAAATCTTTAATGTTCCGCGATGGTTCCGATATACGAAAAAATAGACAAGACGAAATGTTCTAGGTGTTGCTAACGGTGTTACCATCCCAAAGAAACGATGGAAGAAGCAAGTCCTTACATTAATTATTACAACAAACCATGCAATATTAGTAGCACTTGTGGAATGCCTGTCACGAGATTGGTTTGTATATGTGCCAAGGCGCGTATTAACAAGCGTATGGTACTTCTGTCCTCAGGAAATACTTCATCGAGAAATAGCGACGCGGGTATTTATTCGCAAGTGCACGCAAGGTACGAAAAGATCCTGTAAAGAGTAAGTACAAATTATCTAGCTTTGATTCTCGAAGTGCGCCAGTGCGTCGCGTGTCCTATCACATGATCGCCTCCCGCATCGAGAAGTTTCTCGATTCAAAGGGTAATCGTGAAAGTAACGCGTGACAAGCTGCTGAGGAAAATTATCATCATATTCATTCACCGGCGATGAGGTAACTAGGAGGTGCATTTAGATGGCAAGTATGTGCAGATAACAAATAAAATGTAACTTCCTTAAAACCTAATAGGACTTAAAGGAGTCCTCTCGAGATCTTAGGGTAGTGTTGTACGCGTACAATTCACCAGGAACAGGACGCTTGAATAACTCTTCTAGATATGAAGATATCTACAATATTTATAGAATATTTAGACTTCTTTTTGGGATTTTTTTATCCCCCGAAGAGCGTGAAATCACGACTTATTGTCTAGTTTTACCGCAGGATTTTTGTTTCTATTACGGAATAATATTCTACCGCTCAAAATTTTTTACGGGATAATGCGATTGGAATCATCTTTTTTGACCTCACAAACAACTGCTTTACCATACCGCTAAACTATATTTCGACTATTTATAATTTCTAATTATGTCAACATCTTAAAACGACATCCGTAACCTGCATCTTCAAATCTAAAAATATTATCCAGTTGTACTATTTCTGGTGGGTCGGCTGGTATTATTCTTAAATAATATGTAGAAATTATTCAAGAATATGTGTATGTACATATAGTAGTACACACATAGTGACAACTGACAGTCTCTCTCATTCTCACACTTATTCGCTGGACTGAACAATTTTTAATTGAATAAAGCATCATTAAATATGGGATCCAACACATATTTGCTTTGTTGAGACGTACGAGACTGTACGTTCAATGTTTTTACAATTTAACCCTTTCCACTCTTTGTGTTATCATTGATAAAAAATTAGTAAAAATAATTAATGAAAATTTTATTAAATATAGTTTTAATAAACATTAATATGTTTTTTTTATTAATTAAACTGTGAAAAGTATAATAGACATTAAATAATTGTACAACGATCGAATTTTATATCGTAATATTGTTAAATGAAAAGGGTTAAAAACGATGGAAGAAAGTTTTATTATAGCTGAAAATTTCTATTTTACTTATAACACTGTTATGAATACAAAAAGTATGCGTGTTTCCAAGTATCACTATTTATCATGTGTATAGATCATCAATGCAAATAAACATCCATTTTCAAAGATTTTTCATTATTAGTTATTCTACTAAGATCATAATATACAAATTGTATGTAAATGTGACATAAAGTTTAATAATGTAAAAATAACTTTTAATTATTTGCTTATGTGGCTAGAGATGTAAACGACGGAAAAAAAGAATTAGAGTAAAAAACTCAGGAAATAATAATTTTTTTTCTTTCGGTTTTGATAGTTTTTTTATTCGGATATTTTTTTTTTAGCATTTCACGATTTCGATGCTGTACTATTGTTCTAGAATTTAGTTTTTGCACTTATCCGTAAAATTTCTATGTAAAAATAGTTACAAAAGTAAAATATAGTATAATGATCAATATCATATAATGCTGGTAGCTATAAATATACCTTACCTTTCACTATATTATTTGAATGATATTTTATACTGTACTCCAATTATAAAAGTTAGTAAGTGTTTTACACTGTTATTAAAACAAATAATACTTTGCTAGACTAATCGATATTGTTTTTGTCGTATACCCCGTTGTAATTATACATATTCTAAATTTAAATTAATGAGACAATAATCATCGAATCTCTAACTCTTGAATCAATATTATATTGGGATGTTGTCTCAAAATAATTAAAATATAGAATACAAAATAATTAAAACATAGAGTACAATTGTAACCAATATGCAATATCTATTATGCTTATAAAGTATTATGTGTATTAATAACATCACTTACTTAATCTTTAAATATAAAATATCTGTCATTCAAATACCACAGTAATTATATTGAAATAACTATATGTTTTTTCATAAATTTTATATAATTTGATAAAATAATACCGTTATTTACAGTAACAAAATTAGTTTTTTATTTCAAAGTAAATCGTTTTTTACATCTCTAGATGCGGCAAAGAAAAAACATATGATACATGTTTATTTTAATTTGTGAATAATGTAGCTCGAAACTTAACGTCACATTAGATTTTTTACGAAGGATCTTTCAAAATAGACATTTATCACGACTACAAAATATACGTAAAAAAAATTAAGTATAACGCAAAATTATGTTTTACAATTTACAAATCATATTATATAAACTTACATAAGATTCCATTCGAGTGATCCTTGTCCAGCGTATGTTTATAATAAACCTGCGTTTATAATAAACCAGCAATTACATGTACATACTATGGAAATGTATATAACATGTCACATGTGTTGATAATTCGGGATGATTTTCATATACAGTCATCGTTTCCTGTTTTCTAGATGAAGTATCTCACGACCTACGTTTGCGTCAAACATTCAGATATATATACAATTTATCTACGAAACGAATTAATCATTTGAATAATTGCCTTATACCCTTCAAATAATTAAAATGTCTCGATACGGATTTATACGGGATTGAAATATATGCGATAATATAGCTCTAATACTCATAAAAAGTTGTACTATCTTGTGTATTGTGTCATGCTAACGAAATAAAGACACGTCGATTAAAACAAGCGCAAGAGACATCTGAATAACAGGTAATGCCACAGAGTGCTTTACAACATATGATCCTAATGTATTATTGCTCTTTGCACTTCTCAAAATGTTCGAAACGTCGCTTTTTTTCCTATTCTAAAAACTCGTGTAAAAGTCGCTTGATATCGAAACCCAACCAAGCCAACGACACAGCTTAGTAAAATATGACTGTCTTCGAGTATTTAGAGTTGATTCTAAATTATCTCAATTTGAAGTAAAACAAATGGACCGCGCGACGCGCGATCATTCCCGATTCTCTCCTTTACTATGAGTCATCGTTTCACGGATTTGTGTCAAGACTTCGTAAAATAGTGATGCCTATACTATAGCGACTGTATATTGTCATTAAAAATATTATATTTTCATGTGGATATATTTGGCAAGCATGCACGTCGATTTGGAAGATCTTTTTTTTCCCTTTCCTTTTCTAAGTGACGACCAAATAAAAATCGAGTGTATGAGAGCTAATGACAACTACGAGAGGACGGCTCGCAGTCTTTTCCAACGTGCCTCCAATTGAGACTTATTCCTGACAGGATTCCAATCGAACGCAAACTCAGGACTGGCTGTACTTTTGTTTGAATAAGTAACGTTGTTATGGCTAAAATCTGAATTGAAATTGGCCAGGTCGACAGTACTTAAAATTCGTACGGCGGACGAGAGGCGAAGCTTACTGGTTGGGGAGCTAAATACCAGTTTGCGGCCTTGCTTACTGTTGTTGCCGATGTCTCCAATACTGCTACTATTATTACGATCGTTTTGTAATTGTTTTACTTTGCGGGAATACTCGGCGAGAAACGATTTCGCCATAGATCATTGCCGATACGCCTGTGGCGATATGCCGTTTCCAGGAGTCACGTAGTCACCGATCATCAGGCTGGGATTCACTGGGTAATGAGAAGTGTTGCCGAGGACCAGCGATTGCTGGAAAGTAACACCAAGCTGTAGCGCGAAAGTCACGCAAGCAGACGTATTGTTTTAGTTTCCGTCTCTCACGTAAATTTTATTAAATGTATATATATATATATATATATATAATACTACACACGCATATTGTAACAATTATTTCATGCTTGTGTTATATCGTCTAAAGCATCATTGTAAAATACATTTTTTTATTGCTCTGACAGCTTATCGTAAAAATGTCAAGTTTTTAACTGTACTTACAGTGGCAGGTGATGTAAACATATTTGGAGTTATTCCACCACCTATTAATTGTGCTGCTTGAGTGCTCGTCGCTGTACCTCCTACGCGACCCCGTCCTGTACTCGAAATGGAACCCGGATGAATGTTTGGTTGTCCTCCTGTTACATAAAAATCCGTACATTTTTTTTATATGTACGAATGAAATGAGTAAAAAATAGGATTTAAAAATATAAAATAAGACACTGAGCTACACTGAACTACTCATATTAAATTTTTACTGAGAGAGAGAGAGAGAGAGAGAGAGAGAGAGAGAGAGAGAGAGAGAGA